CTCAAGGTATGCCTAGTGTTTCTTCTCCATTATAAAACTCTGTGTCTGATGAAGACAAACTAGAAACCCCCCAAACAGTTTGATCTGCAAACCTAATAAGAACTAGTTACTGCAAAAATAAGATTTTATGTGTTTCTCCCTTAAATTCCATTCAAGATAGTTAACAAAGATACAAGAAGGCTGGAATGCCTACGTATTTGGGACAAGTAGCAAATGGTCTGTGCTTTTAAAACCCTTACTTTTACCTAACAGAAGACATCAAGAGAAGCAGCAGGACTAAGAAGTCCCAAGCAGCACTCTGCTGAATGGCAGACAATATGCCTGAAGTCGACTACAAAGACAAAAAGTAGTTTTTAAAACTTTCTTCCACTGCAACTTATTTCAGTGTTGAAGAACTTCCCTAATTTGCCACAATCTTTTTCTTAAAGTCAAAAGAGGATGTGGTGCAGTTCTTCACTCTCCAGGAAAAGGGCTTTAAAACATTTCAAAACAAGTCTTGGACTAAACAGAAATAGATGAAACTTGAGAAAAATTGCACTGTTATCAAGTTTCCCTTTAGATGACACGTGTTCTTATTTTATACTTCCTTATCTTCTCGAAACGAAGAAAATTTCTGCTACCCAGCAGTAGTCAACAGACTGTACTTGCACTCATCAATTCAACAAGAGTCAGCAGAGGTGGCACCGATTCCCACTCCTTTAAAGTATGCTGGTTTATAAGAGGTATTTTTGCAGTCAAATGACTGCTCTCAAGCAAAAACACTGACAAAAGCACACTGAGGTGATGAGAGAAGCTCCCTCTTGGCACTTCAGCTACTCACTCAGTTCCAGCTGCATCCACCAACTTTTCCCAAAGATGGCTTGAGATACACAAGTCTCAAACTCTAGCTCAAGGTCCCCTGTTTGTTGGTGGGGTTGTTTTGGTTTTGGTTTTTTTAAGTGACATAAACCTTGCCCATTTCAGAAGATTTAAGAAATACATTATGAAGTGATCAATTAGTAAAACTTGCTATTGAGAGTTTCTATTCATGGAGGGGAAGGAAAAAAAAAATAACAAAAGACTAAGATCTATCAAAAGATACATCATCACCAGTACACTACCCGTGCTGTAGGATTGACAGAAATCAAATAAGTGCTTTGGTTTTCTAAGATTTACTTCAGCAACTCTATTTACTGCTTTTCATTCACACATGAAATTGACTTCAGGAAAATTAGTATTTCTGACTATTTGGTCTGGTGAGATGCTAGCTGACCTCAGTTTCTTGGCCTTCTGGAGTCAGCCATTACTACATTTTAAATGTACATGCCACATAAGCTATACCCTTCATAGCTTATTGCACCCAACAGTAATTTTTACATTATTTTCTATGAAGACTTCCTCATATTTCTCATATAAATCATAACAGCTAATAGCTTAACAAAATTACTTTATACATTTATCACATCTTGTCTTAAGACAGCCAAGAAAACAGAACTTACATTCTCCTGTCATCTCATGCTGTAATCAAATCTAGATTAAACTAATATTATCATGTAAGCAGGTGCACTCAGACCACCAGAGTTAAGTCGTTAGAATTAAGCCATTCACATTACTCTATCCACCAACAGCTCCCTCAGACATTGATGAAAATTCAGAAGCAGGATGAAGATACAACATAAAAACAGCAGTCACAAGTAGATGGAAAAGTAGCAAGAACAATAACAGAAAGAATAAATAAGTAAACCATCCAAGTAATCAAATTCAATATGTGAGAGATTCGGGTTTTGTTCCTCAAAAGAAACTGAGCGATCAGTTTTTCTTAACTCTTTACTTCAATATGCAAAAATGGTAATAAATGCATCAGACAGAAATAAGAGAACCAGTAAAGCCACCTAAGTGTGAAAAACCCTTCAAAGCATAATCTGTTTTTCAACGTGACAAAGAATTGTGGAAATGAAATCCATCCAGATAAATGGAACCCATCACTCCACGCACCATTTACAGCTACTTCAGCTTCCAGAAAATTGTTGCATAAACTTCTTTGATCCTCCAGATGAATATCTACTCAGTTGAATAAAATAAAAACATTAAAGATAAATATAAATTTTTCAAGGAAATCACATAAGAACTCTTACTCTCAAGCAGAGTTACAAATAAAACCTGTTCTTATAGAAAATCTGACTACAACACAGGGCCAATAAAAACAAGGAGGCAGTTTTAAGTGGTTTCCAATGGAGCTACACTGGCCCCACAACAACCATCACACCTAATTCCTAGGAGGCAGGAGCAAAATACTGTGTTCTAAGAATATCTAATTTACAATTACAAAGAAATATTTACACTATGAAATTGCCACCTAAAATGACACCGACTATGTAGCAGAAACAAGAGAACTCCTTATGTCTATATTTAGTGCACAAATCGAGTTAAACTGTAATTCTGAAGTTCACAATCATTTAGCTAATAAATATATAATTGCCAATTATGAAAAAATAAATCCTTAAGCACATGCTTACCCTTTGTAACACAAGTAGTCCCACTGATTTAATAACTGCTCATAGACATCTTCAGTATCACCTTGAAGCAATAGCTACAGCACCCACGTGTGCAGCTGAGTAACACTGTAATCCATTCTACTGCAAAACTTCTTGGCCATTTAGCAGTTTTACAAGTAGAGGACAGAATTTTTATTTGTAGACTGTGTGAGTGAAAAATATCCCTCTCCTGACCAAAGATTATTTGGCATGCGAACAGCAATATCTCATTCTTATACTCCAGGGAGTTTTAACCTGCCTCTAGCTAAAAGCTATACAATCTTATGATTGCAGCAGAGTGTAAAAATCACTCTAATTAAATCAAGTAAGAACTGGTTTGACCAGTGTTACTGATCCCCCAAATAATTAAAATCAGTTAAGAAAAGTCAGGGGTTGGTACTTAGCTGTACCTGAACTCGTGCTAATTTTTAAAATAAGTTTTGCAATTGAACAAATAGAAAACAAAAATCAAGCAAGCTAGAAGAAGAACCTGGACTGTTGTGAGTACAAACTACCACAGAATACACAGTTTCAGGGCACTTCATTAAAAAAAAAAAAAAAAAAAAAAAAAAAAAAAAAAAAACTTCTCCTGGCTTTGCATTGGTTCTAAGATGTAGTGACTGTATCTTAGAGCATGCCAAATTGCATTGCAAACCAGTTGAAGCCTGACCTAAGGCAGCTGCATTTCTGATACATGCGAACAGAATCTAGTTTGTGTTGTCCCGTATACTTATACCTATTTACATCAGTTTTCCTTCTACGCCGTATGATCTACCTTTTACACTGTGGTGCTCCCATTGTTGGACCCTGGTGGCCCTTCAGGGCCCCGCTGCGTTACCCTGCAACAAACCTCTTGAGGCAGACTGACAGCATAGCAGGTTTCTTTCCAGTACTGACAAAGTTAAAGCAGAGCAATGGTATCTCCCTGTGTCAATATGCCTCATACGCCCACCATGCAAATTTAACAGAAGGCAGCGTAACAGCATGAGACACAAGTATATTAGTGCCAAGCCTGCTTTGTCACAAACTGGTGCCCTAAAGCCTCTAAACTCCAGGTAAGCCGGGAAGGGGTAGAAAGCGAGTGATTTCTTTTCTCACACAGAGCAGATAATTTCCTGTACTGTGCATAAAGTCTGATTGGTTTCCTGTCAGAACAGCCAGGTCTCTGAGTCTTTTGATCACTTTCCCCTGGCCGTTCACAGTTGCTCTGATTAGAGATTGATCCCCGTGCTGCTCTTTGATCAGCAGCTCCGGCAGTCCGCAGGTGCCATATATCATCACATTAGCAGGCCACAGCAGCATTAATCTCCCCCTGCTCAACTCACTAGTGTGCTGCATATTCTACCCATTCATAGAGGTCTCTGAAACTTTGCTTTCTATTAAAAGATATGACGTACAATACTTTTATCTGGGGAGTCCCAAGTTCAAAGTTGAGAGAATTGAATTAGCCTCGAATCTGCGTTTCTGCTTTATTTCATTACAGTTCAGAGAGTTTTGAGAGCTCCCAGCTTGGCCTTTTGTGTTGGTTTGTGCCTAGGGAGAAAGCTTGTTCTAGCTGACATACGAAGTACTAAATTTTTCAAACACACCCCCACGCACACGCACACCCGACACCCCCCCCCCGCCCCCCCATACATTAAGCACCAGGGTTTCCATGCATGTATGCTAACAACCTTAACTTTAGATATTCTACACTAAGTGGGGTTTCATGCAGTATATAACGTTTCAGTTTGTAAAATGTTCTTTAAAATGACTTCATAATAGCAGATCAAGAGGAAAGGCGCTTAAAAATCTGAATAATGTAAATCATATGGAGTTCAGAGGCTAAGCAAATTACACACCCCGAAGCTGCCCTTGCTGTATGAAAGGAGCCTTTCTCCAGCTCTGCGCAGCCCCAGCCCAAGGGAACTTGCATTTGAGAGTTTTCTAAACATTTCAGGTACACTTGAAAGTTGAAAGTAATTCTCATTTCCTATGCAGGATTAGCTCGTTTCCAGCCCGTACAAAATACCACTCATTCACGCACAGATACAACCCCACACCCCCCCTCCAGAGCTAAGCACTTAGGGTACAAAGGTGTGCGGGGTCGTTGCTGCCTTTTTGTTTTTGTTTTTTTTTTTTTCTTGGAGGGATTGGGGGGGGGGGGGGGGGGGGGGGTGGAACACGACACATTTTGCACCTCCGACCGCAGAGGAAGGAGCCTCCGAGCCGGCGCTGGGCTCCCAACCGCTGCCCTTTTACCCACAGCGCTCCCCTCAGCGCGGCGGGCGAACGCCCGGCCCCGCTCACCCCGGCCCGGCCACGGAGCTTCCCCCCCCCACCCCCCGCCCTCACCACCACCACCCACCCGCGTCCACCACCCCGCGCGGAGCCCGGCAGCCCCGCAGGCGAGGGAGCTCCGCGCCGGCCGGGCGCCCGCCCCCGCCCTGCCCCTGCCCCGGGCTGCGCGGCGGCGGCGGGGCTGCCGCTCCCGCTCCCGCTCCTTACCGTTCTGCTCCTTGGCGCCGGAGAAGGCGAACTTGGTGCTGAGGTCGGACTCGGCGGCGGCCCCCTGCCTCCGGCCGGCCAGGGCAGATGTCAGCAGGAGCAGCCCGAGGAGGAGCATTGGGCCGGCGGGGCGAGGGGCTCCGGCACAGCAGGCACTGGCGGCGCGGCACCGAGGCCCGGGCGTCTCTCAGCAGCGCCCGGCGCGGGCTGCGCCGCTGGGGAGAAGGCAGCACTGAGCCTGCTCTGGCAGCAGAGAATTGCAGGGTAGTTTCCACATAATCCCATCCAAAACTTTTTCCTAGAGCCCTTTTCTGTGTCTCCAGGTTTTGTTTTTCTTTGGCTTTTTTTTTTTTTTTTTCTCCCCTTTTTTTTAAAAAAAAAAAAAAAAAAAAGATCAAAGCAAAATCTGGACCCAGACCAGCTTCCCAAGGACTAAACAATCCGGGGCCGTGCCGGGCGGGGGCCGGAGGAGCCGGGGCTGGTGAGGGCGCGGGGGACGCCGAGGGGCCGGGAGAGGCAGGGGCGAGCGGGGCCGCTGCTGCCGCGGAGGAGCGCGCACCTGTCAGCCGGCGGCCGGCGGGGGAGGGCGGCGGGGCGGGCCGCGCTCCCACAGAACCACCTTCCCTCGCACCCCCCCCGCCTCAGCGCCGCGCCGCGCCGCTCAGCTCAGCGGCCGCGCTGCCAACTCGGGCCGCGGGCTGCCGGCTCCCGCCCGCCGGCCCCCTCGGCGGTGAGGGCGGCACCTGGCGCGGCGCGTTGACGCCCCGGGAAGTTGTCGGCGGGGAAGAAGGAGGCGAGCGGGGCGGCCTTCGCCGCTGCCCCCGCTCTGGCGGCCAAATGGCGGCGCAACAGGTGCGGGCGGTTCGCGGGCAGGGGCACCCCCGCACCCCCCCCCCGCCGGCAGCCGAGGTCACCCTGCTCCGGGGCCGCGCTTCTGGGTTTGGTAAATGAGGGTGAGACGTTGTGCCCGCTTACCCTGACAGCGTTTGTGGGGTCGTCCTTCGGGTAGTGGGGTTCGTGCTTGAAAATTTGATGCTTGGTTAAACATCTCACCTGAAGCACGGCCTTGATACTGCGAACTAAAACACGGAGAGAAGGCTTTTAAAAAACTCTGAATGCAGATTATTTTTCTTCTGACAGAACTTGCTGGTTTGGCTATCCTGAAAGGAGACCTCTGGCATTTACGTAAACTGATGGAAACCCCGGTTCAACTTTTTGCAGTTGCCTGTCTCCTACTGAAATGCTGTGCGCTCCTCAGTGAGGTGGAATCCCTAGAGCAGATGAGGTTGGGTTTCTTTTTGCTGTTTCACCAGAAATTGGAACTGAATTTATGGCAAGGAGTATCCCCCCCCATTAACGCTGGTGAAGACTAGGACTCTTGATACTTAGCACCCGTTAAGATAATGCTGCGTTCAAACTTCTCTGCTAACGCTGGTGTCTCTCATTCGCTGGGAACAGGGTTTGAACCGTGACTATGTGACGGGTCTGGGTGACAAGACTGAAGGCCAACCGAATACCAGGAGGGCAAAAGCAGCAGTAGGAAGGACAAATCTTTTTCAACTAAAGAAGTTTTGGGAGAGTTTTTAATGGTGACTTTATCCCCCATAGTTCTGAGGTGGTTTTGGGGACGGATGGGAAGACCTGTATGGCTGTGGCCTCGCTCCCTGTCTGTGCAAGAGCCGCAGTAGAGAAACGGAGTCTGCACTGCTGGAGTCTTGAGCACACACTACACAAATTTCTTATCCTTTGACCCAGCTCTTTCCATTATATAACTGAGCTGTTTCTTCTTCTCAGCCAAAGTAACCCTTGAGACGGTGATAAACATCCCCTCTGTTCCTAATAAGTGACATATTTCTAGTAGCAACTGAAATCTGTCCAGCCAAGCTGGGCCGTCTTCTGAAAGGCTGACTTGGAGCATACCGTAAATAGCAACCCTTCCCTTACAGAGCATGAAGAAAGAAATCTAGTGCACAAAGCAGACTATGTAGTTACTTTTATTATTGTTACCATTATTATTATTACTCAGTTTTCACTGTTGTTATTTTCAAATGGAAATAAGTGTACTGCTTAGCAAGTCTTCTACCTTGATGATCAGAAGCAGCGGGGTTTTTAATCAATTAAATGCAGCATTGCACTATAATTTAACCTTTGTTGCCTGAGGATTTTGTGGGATTCTTTGTATTTTGGGGAATTGATGACAAGTCCCTCCTGAAGAACACGGCTCTAATGGCTCACACTGTGTACATGAAAAGTAAAAGCATCCCATAGTCTCCCATAGCTTTGAAAATCTAGGCTGCATCAGACCCGTGTTTCATTCTGGCATCCTAGTTCTGACTTCTCAAAGGAAAATGCAAGAACCCACATAGTGGATGAATATGGAATAACAGTGCCAGGGGAGGAAGCTTTCTTCTAAACCTCCTGTAAATAAAGATCGGGGAATATTTTCTATCATCAAGGCTCTACTTCTTTTCAAAAACATTTTTGTTGTTAATCCCATCCAAAACACTGTGTGTGGTAATCCCTACCCTTATAAACATCCAATCTTCTCTGAAATTCATGTTAAGCATTTATCACCAGTTATCTATGGCTATTTTTAATGTTAATGCTCTCCAGTTTCATCAGGTATCTGTATGTGTCTGAATTATGAAAACAGGTGAATAGAAGTGATTTAATTTCTCTACCCAGTTCATTTTCTGTGTTACAGCCCTATCACGTTCTCTCCCAGCTAGGCATTTTTACTACATTTTTCATCTGAGTATCTCCATACCTCTAAGCTTTTCAGAGTCCCATCTATTTTTGTTATGTTTTATTTGGAGTGGGACAAACAGAACATGGCATTCCAAGAGAAGGCCTAATCTTAACATATATAGTGAAGATTGATGGAATGTTATATTCTCTATAGTATTTCTTATGCGTACCTTCATCTTTTTATTGGATCTACTTCTGCAATGATCCACAGAAGTATTGACATTAAAAAAAATAGTCTGATAGTCTGAATGGTTAGATAAACACGACAAGCTAATGTAAGTGCAGTTCAGTTCATTCCTGCCAGTGCACATTGCGTTGCCGATACTGAATTTCATGTGGGACCACAATGCTGATGCATCTTAAGAGTTCTGGTGACGCTAGTGCCCAGTACAGATTTCCCTGGATATAGTTAAGACTCATCTGCATTTTGCTACCACAATGTTCACATTCTTCTACGCACCCATAATAAATATTTTTAACTACACAAAGATTTGTATTCCTAACTTTACTCCATGCAGAGAATTGCACTTCAGTCTTTGCCTTTTGTATCAGTTGCCATGCTGTATCTCTTCTCACAACTACTTAGTTTACACTAGGTAGTCTTTTTGATGGTGTATCAAATACTTTTTTTTTTTTCCCTCAAAGGTTTTGCAATATAGTCTATAAAATTCTGTATCAAGTATTATTTTTAATTTAATTATTGCAACAGATACTTCTCCATTAATTGCCATCTTCAAATATTTTGAGACGCAGACTTTGTTCTGTGGAGTAGCCATGCTGATCTGACACTTTTTCAGGTTGTTTTATGGCTGTTTTTTTCATCATTCTCATTTAGAAGTTTTTGAAGCAGTTTTTCTTGTACTTGAGTAAAATTTGAATTATCTGGATTATGCCACAGGAATTTATTGTTACTGAGACCTAGCCACCAGAGAAGGCAACGGAAATTTGGCTTGTTAGGACTCCAGAGACTTACTGTGGTGGCATGTAGCCTTTGTACTCCTGAACTATAAATATCCTTGAAATGAAAAGGCTTTCTCTGTGTTTATTATTAATTTAAGGAGTTACCATTATAATACACATTCATCACACAATTTTCACAAACTTCACTTACGTCAACAAAAAAGGATTCCCCGCACCAAAGTCAAAATAACATCACCACAGCACCGAGAGGTGGTCGGTTGACACACGCTCCACCCTTCGTCCGTTCACCACAACAAACAAAGATTCTCCACAGTCACTTGTGGAAGTGGGCTGGAGCTGGCAAGGTGCATAGGTGTTCACAGACTGCCTGCTGTGATTTGAACTGGTACCAAGAGACCTCGACTGGCTTCAGGGAGCTCTCTATATCCCAAGCAGGTTCTGCAAGGAAGCATACTATTTCCTTTTCCTATATGCTGTCTTCAGAAAGACTTTTTTCTGCCCATCATAAGGTATGTAACAAGATAAGCATTTCTCTCCTGAGGAGGAGTAGGATGAGGAATGCAATGTTTTAGAGGAAAATAGGAAAAGGCAGAGAGAGAAACCCATTTTTAGGTGTGATGTGCAACCAAAGAGAAATGTTTCTAGAGACATGCAGCTCCACAAATGAAATTATTTCTATCAAATTCATGTCCCACAAGAGTTAGTGTTATGCATTTACATAACTTTGCAAGATTAGGATCCACTGCTAGGAAAGGAAGATTGATTCGCTTCTCTCCCCATGGCTTGTTTCACTTCCTATTATGAATGGGGAAAAAAAAATATTAATACCCCACGTACTTTTATATTCCCATATATTCTGAAAGTACCTGTATAATCCTCGTGAGATCATAGTAAAGAAAAAAAAAGTTTTTTGCAAACCTTAGCATACAATTTAAATCTAATAAATATCTGCTCATTCAGGCACACAGGCATATGTCTGCTTTTGTGCAAGGTGCTCTCGATTTCAGCTTGGTTACATATGAATTAGTTACTAGTATAACAGGGTTGAGGTTTAAATGCTTATGTTCACATCATGGAGCTATTTTGAACTCTGCAAAGAAGTCTTAAACAGTTGTTGAAAATTTGTGTTTCTACAAAATCTTTTATGGATGAGTGATAAATATGAAAGCAGAAATTGCAGTAGAAACACTAATTATCTTTTAGAAAAACAACAATACGATATTCTCTCATGACAACTAAGCAATAGAAAGAGTGACATTTGTACAAATAAACGTGGCTCTTGTAATCTTACTAATGTGAGGTGAAGCAGCTACGAATGGAATTGTACAGAAAATAATTCCTGCATTAGAAAGTGCTCCTGTAAATGAGGTAGTCCTAAATTTTAGTATTTCAGCCTTATTGTCCATTCCTACTGAATCTGTAAACAAGTTGAAGATTTGTGGTCCCATTACATTCAAAAATATAACGAAGAAAAAAGAGTGAAGTTCAAACAGGCTTCAATTGTGTTGATGCTTATCCAGTGTGGACTGCTCAGACACAACCAGACAAGAAGGAGCTCCAAACATACTTTGGACACTTGAAACACAACTCTAAATAAAGTACCATTTCTATTTTGCAGATCCTAAAATGACACTTGCGAGTTAAAAAATATACTTAAATATTTGAACACAGACTTCAAAGCATATCGATGTTGTTCTGCTCAACATCACATAGCTTAAATGATCATTTTTCAAATCGACTCAGACATTTGAGAACCAAAGTCCTTATTGTACTTGTGTGTGATTTCCACTTATAAGCATTGCTTTAGAGCAGTCACATTTAATAATTCCAATTATATTATCAGCTACATACAGATATATAGTCCAAGCTACATGGCAATGCAACTTTGCTTTAGGTAGGCTGTGGGAGCTACAACGGGAGACGAGGAAGGAGGCCCACTAGAGGTGTCCCAAACTATTTAAAAAAACGCTACCCACTTCTGGCACCTGGTAGCTCATTTGGGTCTTGCTGGGCTTCCAGAGTTAACACATGCAAAGTGGAACGTAGCTAAATCACTCGGGCCT